CGTAGGTAACATCTCATTATTGGCCTTTTTAAATGCTTTAAATAAGCTAGGTTTATTAACAGCACAAAATTTACAGTGAAGCTTAACATAGGTGTTCTCTCATCCTTAAGTTCTGTGAAAAACTAAGGTACAGTAGAATTCCATAAAATCAAGTTTAGGTAAAAGGAAATTCAATTGCTATAGCCTAAAAATAATATTAAAGCCTCATAGCCTTCAACAACCTGTCGTCCTGGTAAAATACCGTCTCAAGGAAGGAGTGTTGGTTGGAGACCCAGGAGAGTGATCTAGCCCGTGTTTCCTCTAGAATAGCATTGAGTCATCTGACCCGACAGGGATATTGTGAGGGTACAATAAAGGCAGATGGAGGGCAGACCAAAGGGCCCAGCATGCTTCTCGGCATTAATAACTGCAGAAGTTCGAATGCTTCAGACTTTTTAAAACTGACATAGACTGAAACAAAACATTAAAATTAATTGATTACTTGATATTTAAATAGACTTTCAAGTGGGGTTTTTTTGTAAGTTTGTAGCATTTACACCTCTGAATTTAGTAAAGCTGAAACCGGCACTAAATCTCAATATGGAAAGTGTGGAAAGAAATGTGAAGTGCTCTGCCCATAATTACTCATTTGCATACTGTCACCATGTAAATTACGTGTTCTTGAGGCTCAGTCTTTATTTAACAAATAGAAAGATCAAGTCTCTGCACTCAAACAGCTTGGGCCTAATGAGGCAGGCAGATGAGTCAGTCAGCTAGCAGTCCCACACCTGGTGAGACGTGGAAGCACAGGGCAGGGATGGCTTCCCCGTGAGGTGATCCCAGGAGGAATAGGAAGTGAGCCAGGCAGAGGGTATGTCACTTCCCCCACAGTGGAGCCCTAAGGCGGAAGGAAGCAGGTTATCCTCGGGCCTCTTCATACCAAAGGCAGTGGATTGAAGCCACAGTTGTGAGCAGGCAGCAGAAGGCACACAAGATTGGTTGTGTGCTCTCAATCTAACCGAAGCAAGGGCAGAGGATCTAAGATTTCAGGATTAGCAAGTCCGTGGGCTTTTCAGAATATGTGACAAGGAAAAGGAACCCTGTCCTTAAAGAAACCTGATCTTCATTCCCTGTTTCCCCACAGGATGCAGAAGGCTATCAACAGGCTGAGCAGGCTTCTGAGGCCTGGAGGGATGATGCTTCTGCGAGATTATGGCCGCTATGACATGGCTCAGCTTCGGTTTAAAAATGGTATTTTGCTCCTGTAATCAAAACAATAGTTTTGCCATCAGAACAGAATAGAGACTCTAGAATTATAGCTCCATAGATAAACCCACTTGATACATGACAAGAGTGGTCTGTTTTTGAAGACTTGTATAATCCAGTGTTAGGGAGGTCTTTTTAACTAAGACAGCTACTTTTAGAAGAGCTATTTTTACAAAAAGACATTTGATTACATAAGTAATTTTAAAAGTGGTATGGCAAAAGATGCCATTAAAAAGTTAAAGGACAAATATTTTTGGTACATAGAACAGATAAAGACTTAATATCTATGCTCTTCAAGGGGCTGTTGGCAAATTGATAAGAAAGATCAGTAACCCACCCAAAAAACAGGGAAGGGATATTTTAGAGTTGATTCACAGAAGAACATAGCCAAATGACCAAAAACAAAACTTCAAGGAAATAAAAATAACAATGAGATCCAGTTCTTAAACCTATTGCTGGCCAATTCAAAGAAAGTGATATGTTCCTCCATTACTGGTAGAAACATGAATCATTATGACCTTATTTAAAGCACCCTGTATTATCTGTTGAACCCAACAGTCCTGGAAATTCTTCAAGAACCAATCTATAATATATGCATAAGCAAAATCTTGAAAACAAAGTGAATACCTCTGGATAGGGGATTGTCGTGCCTGCCATGTGAGGCAGACCCCATACCGCTGGCTCAGGAGTGGAGGGTGTTGCCATTGCATTACCAAGGGAGGAAAACTGTACCTGAGAATTTTAAACTTGATCCCACATATAATGACAGCTGGGGAGAAATACACAAGGAAGCAAAAGAGCAAGTAGATTTTATTGACATTCAAAAGGTGAAGGATTTCACACCAGGTTAAATTGGCATAAATTCGGGGGCATAGCAGAAGGATAAGAGTGTCCAGGATAAAACTGTGTGTGTTATCATTTATGAATGTGTGTGTAAACATTCATAAATGAAGAGACCTTAAGTTTCCTTTCCTTAAACTCAACTATACTGCTTGATTTCTATTTTTTTTTTTCCTTTTTTTTTTTAACAGTATTTATTTAATCAGGGAAGCGGGGAAAACACCATCTGTTTCAGTGTCACACAGAACTCTAAAACAGACCTGAGAATCTAGCACTGTGGTTTGAATATTCCCCTTGGGCTGCTCTTGTCCAAAGCACCATTCCTTTGTAGGAGAGAAATTGAAGATTCCTGCCAAGTACCAAATATGACCAAGAAAATTCCATTCTCTGCCCAAGAAGTTAATCTGTGATGTACATTTGATTGACAGTAAAGTTCAAAGAAGTGCTTCAAAGTTTTTCTAATTTTTACCACATCACTCTGCAGGTCAGTGTCTGTCTGAAAATTTCTATGTGAGAGGTGATGGCACCAGAGTTTACTTCTTCACACAAGGTACGAAAATACTCATCTTTGCTTATTATGCTAACACTCCCAGAGTACCATATTAAATGCTCATTGGTGTACTTTCAAAAGTAAAATCATCTGGCCCTCCTTCCTTTTGCAGCCTTTTCCTGCCCTTCCCCATCCCTCACAGCCGACCTGAACCGTTCACTGTTCTCCAGATAGGCTCAGCTTGTTCGCACTTCTGTTCTCCTCCTTGCTCTTCTTTATGCTTTTCCTCTCTGTCACTTTGTCCACAACGGAAAACCAGCCTGTTTTGCAAGAGTCCAGCTGTTTCACCTGCTAAGCTGGATTATGTCTTAGGTGCATCCGAGTTAAGGTGAATTTAGCATTCACTGCTCTCCTCTGCTCCTCGCCCGGCTGCGAGTTTCCTCCTCCACCATTGCCTTAAGAACACTCCATTCCTGGGCCCTTTGTCAGATCATAGACTTTTTTGAGCCTTTGGTTAAAGTGATAGAACCTCTCCCCTTTAAAAAAACAAAAAAAAGGCTTTAATATACATATATGTAGATTTTTTACATGTAATGTTAAGGCGTCCACAGAGCCCTTGTGAAAATTTCTCCCCATTAGCTGACTCCTAGGGAAGCTCTTCCTCTGGATTCTAGACTGCCCTTCCCAGATGGTTTGGCTTCTGCTACCTAAATGTGAACTTGCTATTACCAAGCCACTACTGCATTTATAACTAAACAGCCCCACTGAAGTCATTTAAAAAGTACAAATAGTGACAGCGATCTCAAGGAGCTCCATTTAACATGGGAAGTGGTAAACACTTTTTTCTTCAGGGGAAAATATATAAACATCTCTTTTCTAAACTAGATGAACTGGACACACTTTTCACTACTGCTGGACTGGAAAAGGTTCAGAACCTGGTGGATCGCCGATTGCAAGTCAACCGAGGGAAACAGCTGACAATGTACCGAGTTTGGATTCAGTGCAAATATCGCAAACCTCTTCTGTCCAACACTGGCTCCTGACATGGTGGGAGCTCACTGGGACATTTTAAAAAGAACACCCACAAATGGCATCTTGTTGATGTTGGATAGCTCAAGGATTCAAACAAACTTGAGCCTTGAACCTAGGAAAAATTACTTTTTATCAAGATTCTAACAATTATCCTTCATATTTATGAAACCCTTTACTATATACTTTTTCTCAAGTTTTTTCTTACTTTGAGATCTCAGAGACTTGCCATTTTGTTAGTTATCTTAACTGAAACATGAGAATTAGGAATTTAAAAGACAACAGGAATTTATTTCCATGTGAAAGTATTATATATGGTAAAGTATCATTTGACTATAAGTTTTATTGAATTATTTGAGAGTTCAGATACCTGGTTCCATGATATTTTAAGTACTTTTCCCCCCTCTAACTTGTGTCTAAAAATTAAAAGGATCTTCACTTTTAGGATTGTATATTTTTATTGTGCCCTTACGTGTTTGACACAAAAGGAATTGGGAGAACCTTATTTTAGCCACATCACTGAAGTGGCTAAATGTGATCATCATCAGTGTTACTTTTTTGTTCTGCTTGTTTTCATTTACCACTTTTACACGGTTCTTTCTTGGTGGTCCATAAGTTATATGATATATTCTTAATTTTACCAAATAAAAAATTTCAATTCTTCATTCCTACATTTTGGATTTTCAACTTAAACTTAGATACTTTAGTAATTGTTTTATTATTTTACTTACATATGTGAAAACGTGAAGACACAAGCAATTTTTAAAATAATTCCAAACTTAAAGGTATAGTACCAGGAGTATTACGAAAATAGTTTTTTTTAATTGAATCATTTTTAAGAGTAAGTTGCAAGGTGATGACTCAACACTCCTACATACTTTAATGTTTAATTCCTGTTTTAGGACATTCTCCTATATCAAGTCCATCAAAAGTAGAAATTTACATGGAAACACTGCCATCTACAGATAACCAAGTTTTCCTAGTAATCCCAATATATCCTTTATTCGTACTCCCTCTACCCACCCCGCTCCCCCCCCCCAAAAAAAATCCATTTTGCTGCGTTTAATAGTCATGTCTCAGCCTCCTTTAGTCTGGAACAATCTTTTAGGCTTGTTTTCATGACCTTGTATTTGAAGATTACAGACTATTTTTCAGACTGTTCCTCAAATTGTGTTTGTTTATGTTTCCTCATGATTTGGTTCAAGTTCTACCTTTTTGGCAGGAATATCAGAAGTGATGCTGTGCTTCTTCTATTGCTTCCTATTGGAATATAAGCTTTTGAATTAAGCCAGTATTGGGGATATTAACCTTGATCATACGATTGAGGTGGTGTCTGCTGCAATTCTCCACTGAAAAGTTACTAGTATTTTGTAGATTAGTGCTTTAAGACTGTATAAATATCTCATTCCTCATCAAACTTTACCCCTTGGTTTTAGCATCTAATTGCTGTTTCTTGACTTGAATTAATACCGTTATGGTGGCCATGTAGTATTTTCTAGTTCCATCACTCTTATTTATTGGTTGGCATTCCCAACTCCCATGATCCTTACATTGGGCCAATCCTCTCATATATAACCATTCTCCTCTTGCCACCACCCGCATATGGATGCCCTCCTCACTCCTCTTGGTCTGACACCACACTGCAAGTCACTGTTGTCACCACTCCCTCAGGCAGACACCTTTCTCACCCTGCCCTGGGTCCAGTACCCCCATGAGGCCATCACCACCTTGCTATAATAATGTCTACCTTGCTCGGCTTCAGCTAATGAGTTTTAAAAGGTGGGAGGAAAGGAGCTCCCATCTTTTCCATTTGTACTAAATTTATTTTAAAAAGAAGAAAGAATCACTGGAAAGGTATTTCATTTATCTTTTGAAACGAACAGATAGATTAACCCAAATGATCCACTGAAGACCTTCCTTTGGCATCTCTGAAGCATTTCAAAGCATCTTCCTAGCCTCTGACTTGAGCCTCGGGCTCACATAAAAAAGATGAGCCTTTTCCTGCCCCCTGCTCCTTTTTCTTCTCTGCCATCTGCTAAGCTCTAATAGAGAAGTGTTTCTGAAACTGATCTTCCTAAGTAGTGTTAATTTGGCTAAAGAGATCAATGTTGTTTGAAAAATGAGGGACAGTTTAATTTGAGACAGGTGCACTGGAGCTGTTGGAGTGGAGCTGTGTTCTTGAAGCGGTGTCAGGGCTCAAGGTATAACACGGTTCCCCCAGAGAGCATGGGTCCTTAGAAAAGGGATTCATCTCCGATTTTGTGTACTTCTCGAGCCTGGCCTCTGCTAATGCTGTCAAACCTATGCTTTGCAATGGGTCCACTACCTCCTTTCATGTAAGTTTATACTCTTGGGCTCCAATTGGAAATTTAGGGCTTTGGAACCTTAATAGGAAAAGGAAAATCTAATGAACTAAGACATCCTACTTACTTTTAATTGATTCCTCTCTTTGCTTAAAGACATTACTTTAGTAGTAGTGGGAGTTCTGTCTGTGGCCTAAAAGAGGAGCTGAAGACAAACAGCTTCTTTCACTCTGTTCACAAAGGCCTGTTCTCTGTGACTGCAGCTGCTATTTTCAGAGTGTGGCTGCATCGATGCATTACAGATTGTATTTTCTTAATTTGGTCTGCAGGTTCTGATGTGAGAGGTGGAAGAAGTGCCGATGGTGAATTTCACAGGTAAAAACACTGAATTGGTACGTCACTTTATTTCAATGAATTTCTAGGTTCAAGATTGGACATTGTCTCTTGACTATTGTCAGTGGACTGCACTGTATGACCAAGTTACAGGACTAATAGCTGTCATCAGATTCCTTGCTTCAGAGGAAGACCCTGAGACACAATAGCCAGAAGCTTTGTCCAAAAGCTCAAGCTTGGCATCTTCACCCGGACGTGAACCCCAAATTGCATTGATTCCCTGCTACCCTTCCTTTGAGTTTGGGTTTCTCCATTAGAACTTAAAAATCCTTAGAAGGAGCCATACTTTGAACATTAATCAGCAATAGAGAAATACCTCCAAGGGGATGAGCAGGATTCAAGAACGCCCTGATGTACCCTGCTCTTGGTAAGCACCCCACGCCCTCCTCGGCTTTGCTTCCCTTTATTCAATATTTATTAGGTGATCGAGGCTGGCAGTGGAGTTCACTAAACGATGAGTTCTTGGGGGAACATTGTATTCTCAATAGCACAGTAGCACAGCATCTGGTCCGTGGTTGAGGCACAATGAATGAGGACTGAATGACTAAATAACTTCTTCCTACCGTGCCTAGCATTCCCCCACCTCCTGAGACACCCACTGACACAGTTTGTAACCTCAAGACCACAGTGTACAGGACTACGGTAGCAAGTATCAGCGCTCAAGCTGGCTTGAATAAAAAACCAATGTGGAAGGAGACGGAGTCTCATGGACCCCCAGGGCAGAAATGTAGAGGCCTCTGAAGAGTCCTGGGAGGTGTCTACTCACCACCGCTGCCTCTGGCTCTCGACCTCTGCTCCTCAGTCCGCTTGGAGGAGGTGACCATAACCCACCCCCAGAGGCTTGCTGTCTCAGTCATAAGTGTGCTGTGTGTGCTGCACGTGCACATTTAGCTGTGATGTGAGCAATTCCTAGAATGGGTTTATAGGCCAGGCGGAGTCTCCAAAAGGCATCCACAGAACACTTCCCCCTTCCCAAATACCAACATTGAAGTACCTTCATTATTTACTTATCTTTTAAATTTACTTACATTCTTAAATTTATTTTTAAAGGAACCTATATCACTGCTACAAAAGTAAAATAGTATCACTTGTCACGAACGGAAAGTATTTTTAAAAATAAATACAATGAAAAAAGAATAAATTCTTGCTGGATCCCTTTGGTGTCCAAAGGCTCTGAGCTGTTGGCCTGGAAACAGCAATAAACAGAGCCAAGTCACAACCCTCTTGGAGGTCACGTTTGGATGGGGAGATCTCAACAACAAACCCATAAAACATGCAGCAGGTGGGCATGTACCAGGAAGAACTGAGCAAGGTAGGGATCCTAGAGAGGTAGCAGAGAAAAGGAAAGGACCTTCTGGGATGGGCTGGACAGGGAAGGTCTCTTAAAGGAGGTGACATCCTTCATGGGACGTCTGGGGGGAAGAGCCTTCTAGGCAGAAGAAACAATCACTGCAGAGGCCTAAGGATCATGGTAGACTCCCACACTCCACACCGCAGTGTGGGGAACACTGTCATAACTTATGGGGCCATTAGTCACTCTTGTAATACACATACCTGCCTTTAGCATTTTAATGAGTACTAACCAGTGCACTGTGTATCAAAAAGGCGTAAGAATGATCACCTGTTTCCTACTGTAACAGGCCCAGCCAAGATCTGGATTCTTCTCAGTTCACCTAGGGACTATGAAAAGTATGAAGCCAGCCAAACTCACAAGAGTCTGGTGTATAAAACCAGGATTATTGGCCTGTGATCTGAGACATAACTGACAAGCCAAGGGGATTTCTCTAGGAAAGGAAGCTGCTTGAGAAACTGAAGATCAGAAGTTGATTGTTAAGAATACACCAAAGCCCAGGAGTTGAATGGCACCAAGAGAAGTTTCTGTCAAAGCCATGGCTGTCCCAAGGTCCCCCACCCACACCAACGAAACAACTGCTGAGCAGATCTGTAGTAACACTAACAGGCGTTTGTTTAGACCTTAATAATCTTCAAAAAGTTTTTTATATATTTAATTCTCACAGCACCTCTGCAAAGTATAATTATCTCCATTTTATAGACGAGGAAATCTGAAGTTCAGGGAGGGTAGGTGGTTTACCAAGGTCAGACACTAGTGTTAATCGTAAGGTAATTAGTTTAAGATTAAGGAGGGGTGATTTGATAGAAATGATATTTGACATAATATAGGGGTTTAAATATTCTTGGCTCCAACCAACTCTGCCTGCCCAGAAAATGTTACACCTGCTCGGAGATTACCCATGCTGCCTGCCTTGTTGGAAAGGGAGGAGGAGAGAAGGCGCTGGCTCCTGCCCACCCCCACCTCACCCCTAAACCTCCGACGGAAAAAGAAAACCCTGCAACTATCAGAAGTGTAATACAACTATCAAAAGTCCATGAAATCGGCTACATAAATTGTGCTGGTTTTGCAACATAGTACAAATTGCAACATTTTGTCAAAATAGATTTTAATTCGGCACCTGTACCCTGTAGCAGGGACCCGCCTGTGATACTCAGCTGGGGTGAAGGGAGAACCTGGATTCTGCCACCTTATCTTCCCGAGGGTCTCCACCAGGCCCAGGACCGGCATCACAGGCTGTGCCCTGTTCATTTGCACAGTGCCAGGAGATCACAGGGGCCCACGCTAGGTTTGATGCTCTGCCGTTGCTATCTTGAAATTCTTAATTTGTTAAGAAGGAGCCCCACAATTGTGTAGCCAGTCCTGCTGCTGCTTCT